AAAAAGTAAACTAACAAAATATTAGTAACATTACATTTTGTTAAAATTAGTATTTGTGATAAAAAAAAAATTTTAATGCAATGTTATCTTTGACACACAATGGATTAAATCAAGACATATTTTGCAATTTACTGTATAATGACAACTGTATCTAAAAAACAAATCAAAAATAAAATATAGAAAATTAGAGGTATGATATTTCTTGGTATTTTAACTATGAAATGTAAGATATAGATTAAAAAAGGTAAACTGAGAAATACAGCCATCATACCTTCTACAATGATATTGTCTGTATGAGCTATACCTCTATCATATAAAATAATAATTTAACACGAATCTTGACAAGACATGCTTATTTATAATAATGTCAACTATTTATATATATTACCCTTCCACCTAATATAATACTATAACAACATACAGGTCAACACAATACCAAAGAACACTAAGCACTCAAAAAGAAAGCCGTGAAAAAAATAACAATCAAACGACCATTCTAAACCCATGAAGGTAAATATCAGAAATAAAATTATTTTGTTTTGATCACACAATAGCTTAGATTTAAATAATACACATACACCACACAGACACACACATAAATATTCAAAATGTTATCTCATACAGGAAACCAAGTATCGAAACGAATTATCAAAGAAGCATTATACTTCTAGGAAAGGATGTACAAAAAAGAATATATATATTTTTTTATCACTTTGTACTTGCTGTCTATAATCAGTGCAGTCAAGGTAAAAATGTACACTAGGTAAAAATTATTACGAATAAAGTTACTTCAGGTAATTTCATCAGTGTAATGACTTTTGGATATGGAAATTTTCGTAAATAATGGAAAAGATTTGGAAAGCGTATGAATTTTTAATGTTTTGTTATTAAGTATTATAGGTTTGACTTTTATAAAGAACTGATTAATTAGGCCTATAATCAAGATTTTAGTATAACACTTGTAAGATCTCACAATCAGTATATATTTTTTCCATATAAGAAATTAAAACAATGACATTTTAAATTATGCATTTTTGATTTATAATTATTGTTATTGCAAGATTTGCATACTTACAATGTTGAATATGAATCCATGTGTTTGTAAGGTACTATACAGTACAATGATACATTAACTGAAGATTAATGTGCAAGTTATGTAAGAAAGAAAACATTAGCTTGGGAAGTAATTTTTCAAACACTCTTCCAGGTGCCTAAAAATCCTGTTGAAAATATCACTGCTTTTTAATTAATATTAATTCATTTCTTAATTTTTAACAAACCACTCCATAAAACAATTTTTTAATCCTCTAACTGAATGATTGTTTTTGTTTTGTTAAATTTTCATGTAAAGGTACTCGAGGGCTATCTGCATTATCCGTCCCTAATTTTGGAGTGATAAACTAGAGGGAATGTAGCTAGCCAACACCACCCACCTCCAACTATTAAGGGAAGGGCTGCATGAACAGCAAGAAATTTGATCAGATGATACATTCATGTAAAGTTCTGTAAGCTTTGCTAACTGGCTTTAAAACAGGTTTAAATGATGATGAATCTATTTTGGAGAGAAAAAAAAAGAGGTTATAAAGCCACAACTAATAGAAATTTTTGCTAAAAGAATCTTAGTTGACAGCAAAAAGGAATATTTCTAAAAGCTTTTCCTAGCCGAGCTGAATGTAAAGAGAGTAAAACCAACATACTGTAAACAAACAGCCAATATTTTTTTATTCTAAAAAATGTAAAATTCCAAAACAATGTTTAGAAACTTGAAATTGAGAATATGTATATTTTTAGCTCTATGAACAAATGAAACCATGAATATCAAACCTCTACAAGCTAATATAGTGCATAAAACATGCAACAGAACACACCCACAATTACACAGATACATACACACACAGTTGCTTATCTTGATTATAACTTACTTTTGTAAAGAACAACAACGATCTTTCTAAAAACCTTCATAAAGTTCATATTATCGTAACAGTACTCTTGGATCTTGAGGAGCAATGCAAGCTCTGCTTTGGCACCTTGGGTGAAAGCTGCCAGCAGAGCACTGTACTTCTTTAGATGTTTCAAGGCTTGCTCAGCAACCAATTCTTCTTTCTTGTTCCATTCAACAGCAGCCATCAATGTTTTCCACACCTGTATGCAAAATCCTGAATTAATTTTACAAGAATCAATTTGCTATGTTAAAAATAATGAGCAATATCATTCAATCTAAATTATGTGCTTATATAAATGATCTGGTATTCTCCAAACAATCTACACTGCTTACTTAGTTAATAGTAATATAAGCTAATTTGTACAAGGGCTTAGATGTTCCAATTTGTAACTTTAGCAATACTGTTATTTCAATTAGTTCCTAATTTCTTCTGTTTTTCATTGAAAATGCAATCACTCACTAATGGTTCTTACTTTTTTTAGCTCCAAAATGTAAACTGTAAAAATTAATTCATTTGTAGTTATCAAAGGAATTCCTCCACACTTGTGTTGTTCTGATCTGATTTTGTCCATTTGAACTTATCATAAAAGAACTGACTACTTATTTTGGTGTGATATCTGAAGATGGTTGTTGAAATTGCTAATGGAACTTTTTTTATGAATGGAATAAAACACAACAAGACAAAAATTACTTTAACATGTTAATATACAAACTTATTCTCTATATTATGAAATATATCAATATCTTAACAGATAAACCTGTTGTAAATGAGCCAATCTTATAAAGGCAACAAAACTAAAAAGAAGAATAATGCAATCATGGGTATACAGATGCAAAAACAGTATCAAACTTACCAAGACTGCTAATTCATTTTCAAGTAGACTGTGTTTGTTCTGGTAATCTTTCAATAATAACAAAATCTAAATAAAATAAATTAACAATACCATGATGAAATATATTTCATATCCTGCAAAACTAAGCTCAATAAGAAACTACATTATTCTGCTTCTGAAATTTAACTTCAAAATATACAAGGACCAATTTAATTTTCTTCAATTGTTTAAAATGTTTGGATTATTTACATAACTCTGCTACTTTCAAATATATAAAACAAATCACACCACAAACTATAGTTAACTTCAAGTGACAAAAGAATAGCGATTATGTGAAAAAATAACCCAATAACACTGATTAGCTATTACACAGCTCTTTCAAATGTGGTTGATTTTACAACCAAAAAGAATAGTTGATGACTAGATTATTACATATAAAAATCAATGTTAATAAGACTATCAGGCTTGCCACTGAAGTATTCAGTTGGGAACTTCTTGAAAGTTTCTACAAATCTTATCACATATAAATTTATTTAGGCACTTTTAAATTTACACAAAAATGGAGGAGTTGTAACAAGTTAGTGTGACGAGAAATGACATGAAAAACAAATATTTAATCCACTTCTCAGCAACAACACACAATAATTTTACTCAGTTCCCAAAGTAAAGTTATACCCTCTAAATAATATATCTACAGCAATCTGAGGGTTATCTGATTTACTGAAATTGAGTTACTAATTATTTGTTCAAGGAAACTTTTATGATTTTTTTGGCTCTTTGTGGCAGGAAAAAATATTTCTAAAACTATGTCTTATCAAAGTAATCCCTTTGTTGATCCTAGCCCGTACTAGGTATATTATGTTTAAATGAATGACCTCTGACTTTTAAAACTGTAATTTACTATCCCAATTAAGTTTTGTGTGTTACTTGAAGTTACAAACAAAGCACTATCCTTCTCCGAGTATCTATTAATACTGTTCGACTTAAGAATGCAATAAACTTCTCATTAATTTTCTAAATTTCACACACAGCATAGGTATGTAGATGAGAACAATCTCATTTGTTCAGAAAATAATTTCATCTGATTATTGAAGACATCTTATTTTTCAAAATCAATGAATCCATCACGAAATTCTACTTAATTAGCAAGTTACCCTTTTAGTTAGTTGTCTTCGAAAAGCTTTCACCTGAAATTCAACTACTAACACCTACATTTCTTTCTATTTACTGTATCCAAATGATACTTGTTTTACAATTTATCATAACGTATTAAAATCTACAACAGCTGAATGAGTTCCGAATTCCTGTAAATATTATTAGATCTACGTATATCCATTCAAACATTAAAACTATAATTTTTGGATAAGAAAATATATTTCTCTGTCACTAAAACAAACTACTCCATTTAAAAATGTTAAAACACACACACACCTCCTTCAACGGAGCATCACTCTTCAGAAGAGGGGCAACCTGTTGTTGTAGGTCTTTCTTTACAGAACTACTCTGATGGACTTTCTGTTCAAATTACATATATCACAAAACTGAAATTGTTTATTTTTAAATAGACAGGCTGCATCAATAAACAAAATACTACATAACTTAAAAACACACTTTTTGTCCTAAATTTACCATTAAAGTTTGACAAACAATTTTTTATACCTATATTCTATCATACCTTTTATCATGCTTATTATCAATCAAGATTAATTCATACATGAAATAAAATGAATCACAAATGAATATCAGATTAGTTTTTCTTTATCTTTCACCCAAAAAATATGTATATACATTAAAATTAACAAAGTAAGAAAGACTAACTTGGATTACATTGGAAATGGAGAAATTGACTCCTGAGGCATTCTATACATATAATCAATAAAGTAAATTTAGGTTTTATATACACAGCCATTTATGTAACTTTTACTTTATTGTTAAAAGATTTCAAGACAAGGCTAAAGCCTATAAGGTATCTTCAGTTCAACAACATGATACGAGACAAACACAGCCTGCATTTTATTATGGTGTAATTATATACAGCATTGTGATATTTAATTGAAAACTGAAGTTTAGATGACAGAAATAATAATAATAAAATTTCTACACATTAGTAGGTTAACATAAATATATTTTGTAAAACTAGAAATAAATAATGTTATTAAAAAAATGTACTACATTTTTATAGCACAATTGTTCAAGATAACTACATTTTAATATAGGGCTTTTGATAAGTAAATAATGATCCCCCACTCTCCCTGATTTCACAATCTATGGTTCTTGAATTATTTAGGAAGAGTAACGTATTATAATTTCTTTATGGTTTTATATTCTCAAGAAAGTAGAAGCTAGTATCACTCCCTCCCTCTTTGTGGGCCAGGGATTGCCTTGTGGTTAGTGTGGTAAATTGTGGATATGAAGGTCCATGGTTTCCATCCTGTTGCTGAAAATAAGAAAAAGTGCTTTGAGCTGTGGGTGTATTATAGGAGTAAAAGTCAAATTCTGTTTGATTAGAGTAGGCCAAGAGTTGGCTATCTGTGTTACCTCTAATCCATCAGTTCAAAATTAGGGATGGCTAGTCATAATTTTGTGGCTGCTCTTATGCAAGTGTTAAATTATGAAATACGAGTTACTATGTCACGTGACAGCTAACACCATAAGAACAAATCTAATCAATCTGACAATCTTTTTGAACTTAAGAAGTTAAATCTTAAATAATATAAATTTAAATTATAAACATTTTCATTGATATACACTGATCATAAAATTATTTAATTGAATTTTGAATGTAACACTATAATATGACAAACACTTTGACCCATTGATAGAGAAAGAGTTGAAGTGTGTTAAAAACCCATTCAACATAAAAATGAGTTAAACTGTCATTTCTAGAGAATACACTGATTAATTCTTTAAGATGCTGCAGAAATAAACTCAAAATATTAAATCTAAATACTGCAAAATTAACAATTGTGTTAAATACTATAGAAACAAAACTACTAACCAGATACTCAAGGAGTGAGCTCATACCATGATTCTTAAAAGTTTCTGAAAATATCTCTGGTGTCCTACGGCTGGTCGGAAAAAACTCCTGTTAGAAACATTAAAAATTTCTTTTAAACCAATAATTCTGCAAGGAGTTAGAATCTCAAAAATTAGCAAACTTAAAATATTTTTGAATAAATGTAAGCAAATTAAGCTTTAAAACTTGAACTGTATTATAGAAAGTACAGAAACCTAACAAATTAAAATGCATAAAAACGTTTTTAAGAAAACACCAAAGTTTAACTTGGGCTTTGGAGGTCCATTACATCTGTTCGTCATTTTTGGAGCAGAAAAACCACCTGACTAAAAAGAAAAAAAAAGAGAGAGAGAGAATGGGAATAATAAATTACTTTTATGGCCGTTTGATGAAAATATAAGTTAAATCACAGGCTTATTTAAACAATAAATAATGAAACAAAAAATTATCTTTTCACCACAAAGCATAAACTTGTTAAGAAACGTAAAAGATATATGCACAACTATTTTAATCCTATAGTTCTAAACCATTACCCAAAGTTGACTATGAGGTAGATTAAAGTGGAAATTTATTATTCTTTGATATATTGTTTGGACAGAGTATTCATGATGAACACGTGGGAATGCGCAGTAACTGCTTGTTGTAGAAAAACAGAAGTGTAGATGATGACGTTTCGAAAGTCTTCAAGTCAGTGTTTGTAAGTTGGTGAATTGTGAAGGACGTGTTTTGATTGGTTGTTCATCCATGGTTCTGATTTATGGTATGGCTGCATGAGGATTCAATCTATGGCTACCATTGGTTGAATCCACATTCAGCCATTCCATCAATTAGAACCAGGGATAAACAACCAATGAGAACAAGTCCTCCACAATCCTCCATCATACTATAAAAGACCTGCAACAGCTTACACACACTGACCTGAAGACAAAAGATGGAAGGCTTTTGAAACATCGTCACCTGTACTAGTGTTTTTTCTACAACAGACAGTTGCTGTCAATTCCAGTGTACTCACCATGGAAACTTATTAGCCTACCAACATACTCTCTAAAGACTTTTAGTATTACAAATAACAAAACTAAACTATTTAACCCTATGGCCACCAGCACCATTTTTAAATTCCTTTCTCCATATTTACTGTGTTACATTCAAAACTTAATTAAACCACTTTATTCTTAATATACACAAATGAAATTAACATTATAATTAGGGATGCATGGGTAGTAAAATTTGGACGAATGCCGGGTCCGGGTACCCAGTCGCTAAGCTTCAACCCGGACCGGGTTCTCCCCTTGCTCCCCCCCTCAAAACAAAAAAAACATGCACAAAAATTAGAAACAAAAACAAAATCGACGTTTATTACATTTAACCAAATAATCACCAACAGAACATTCAAGTTTTACTTTCAACTTTCAATGCCTAGCTCCAACTTCTCAAACCCCAATCCTTATTATTCTCAAAATCCCCCACCTTCCTCAGAAATCCACTACTCAAGCCATGTCTGTTATTAACCTCTATTGTTCTCTGAATCCCAGACTTTCAGCGGGCGGTCAGTTTTTGTTGCTCGGAACATATTTTTTAATAACTACACCAATTATTGACTGTACCTTTCAATACCTCATTAGTTGGTACAAAGATTAGAGCTTAGATGCTTAACTCTGACACTCGACCAGAGCCAAGTATTACCGGGTAGCCCAATACCTGGCCCTGGGGCGAATATCTGGCCAGGTACCCGTACATCCCTAATTATAATGCATGTTATAATTTGAATTTTTATGTTATCTAAGTTATAATTCCTTTACTTCAATAGAAACCTTTCAAAAAATACATAAACTTCAGTTTTTGTGTCACATGACCCACATGCTATTGAAAAACTCAACTTCAGCAGAGATTCAGCATTAGCCATAAGCTGGCACACTATATCTGTATGTATATATAAACTAGCGTGTTTGACCTACTCAACACACACGTTATCAAAGTCTGTAAGCTGCTTTGTCTGGAAAACAACTATAAATTTTTCAACCCTGAATGGGTGCTACACCCACCTTCTATACTTTGCTTTGAGATTTACTACATAGATTGTAAACCAAAATGTATGTACTGGTTAGAAAGAGATCAATTTGTACTTTTCTCCACCAACAGTTAATTTCAAATTGGTGTGCAATTTTCCTCACAGTATAAATGTAACTGTTGTCAGTATTCTTGTCTGCTTGATTGACTATGGCATTTATGTTTATTTCTTACCTAAATATGCTATAGTTAGAGAGACAGTTAAATTGTGTTTAGGTCTTATCATTTTAGTTAATTATGTATTACTTGTATTTTAAAAATCATATTTGAAAGGTTTATTGATAAATGTAAGTTTAACTTGTTGTTGTCTGGATTGTAAAAGTGAATAATCAAGATGGAGTCATTCACATGTGAAACGCATTAGTGTAACGAGTGTCTGTGTGAGTTTCACCATATAATAAAAATAATAAAGCCATGAGAGGATCAGTTTACATATCCAGCATAAATGATGAAAACAAAGAATGGGAAAGGAAAATTAAAAATAAACTATAAATGAAAAGATAAAGATGTGAAGTTATGCATATTAAAAAAAACAAGTTTCAATGGACTTCTATGAAGAAATAAAAGGTATGTATATATTCCCATTTCTTAACTTTAAACATTTTATTGCAGTGTATGTTCATGATAATAGGTAAAGTTAGTGATATAGTAGAGAAAACAAAAAATAAAACAAACATTTAACCTAAACTTTTGATATACATTTAAGAGGTTCTAGAGATTATGCAAATGAAATGTGAAAACTGTTAGATGATAAACAGTATATTTATACTTCATATAAAAATAACTACATTAAATAACAAATTTTTTTATTATAAATAGTAAAAAAAATTAAAATTAAACATTTTATTTTTCTGAAACTACAAACTTTTAGGAAGGTTCTTGTGAAATTTTAAACAATTTCATCCCCTAGTTTTGTTTTTTGAAACAAAATACAACAAAAGCGACATTATCTGCCAAGAATCCTAGCAGCCAGGTCTAATAGGGTTAAACTAATTTTCATATGTCAGAAGTGAAAACAATGGATAATATTACAATGATATAGAAATACTGAGCAAATTTCAAAGAAATCAGAGGCTACCTGAAGAAGTTGACAATAATAGAAAAGATTGTGTGACAGTAAAGAATACATCACATTAAAAACTAATATTTAGTTATAATACTTTCTGGTAGATTACGTAAGACATATAAGAGCTCATGGATATTAACAAGTTTAAAGATGTTACTTAGGTCTATGAGGGATGATTATGTAAAATTAAACAAACTGATTTTCATCTTCCTACTCAAAAAATCTTGTTAATGAAAATCAGGTGATTATATAATAAAACTAGAAACTGGCCTTCAATGGCATTTGAAAATCTATTATATCATTATATTGGTAGCTTTAAACTAATAAGAAATATGATGGAATTCTCCTAACTTTAATATAAGCTGTAAGTGAACCCTTAATAATCTTAGCTTCTTCACATCATGAATTATACTTAGTACAGGTGACAAAAAATAATTACAATGAAAGCAGAAAATGTCCACAATACTTATTAAAATGTTAAGTGTGTAGAAATATATCATGAAACCCATCAACTATAGCATACATAGTAACAAAAGTTTATTGCAAAACAAGAAGGTATACTCAATACTTGAAATTCTTTTAGGAAGAATTAGAGTAAGTTAATCTATGAGACCTTTTCTTCTTTTTTATTAGCTATATTTTTGTGCAACAGCAATACCAAGTGTGGGGAGCGAGTATACGCGAATCGATTTTATTACTCATTACGATCTCTACCAGCCTACCTTCAAATTGGAATTCTTTTAGGCAGAATTAGAGTAAATTAATCTATGAGACCTGTAATTACATCTCAAATTGGTCAAGAGATGATTCAATTACAAGATAAAAGTTTGTACTAGAAAAACTCAGGGCCATCTATAAGCTACTATGCCGCAGCTCAAAAAAACTTTTTAAACTCTTTAAGTAACAGAAAATCTAAGCAATTTACCATAAGTCTTATCTCTAGTCCAGCTTTACGAAGTGCTGTCCATAGAGTGGGAGCATCTTTCTCCATTAACCAGGTCTTAAAAAAATCCAGTAAAAATTCCAGGGCAATACCTAAAAAATTCAAAAAATACTGAGAATAGTAATGATATTCCATAACAGTAAAGATTATTATATATAATAATAACCGAACAACTGCAGCACAATTCCTCACACACACAAACATACCCACAAAAATGTATATGTATATATATATATATTTTACAACAGCTTAAACTTACCATCTTTTATTAGGTGATCTTGCAGACAACTAGTCAGTGCAACACTGGGAACAAGACCACTACCAATCAAAATGGATGTAACTGTAGCGAGTTTAGTTCTCTCACTAGGAGAAAAGGCTTTCAGGAAGACAAGCACCTAAAACACAAAGTGCACTAAGTAAAACTCATTCTGAAACACTCATTACTTGTTTTCAGTGCTTTTTTATAGCAACATGCTTGTTTTCTAGTTTCGTATCCTATTTTGAAAGTAGCTAATTCCAAGCTTTATTATGATGTCAGTTTTACAACTGTTCAATTACTCTTACAAGTAAATAAATTTGGTCAAGCAGCTTATGGTCATATTGCTGAAAATAGTAGTATTTATTCATATGCCAGAGAAGTTAAGTTTTAGCCAAAGCACAAACCCTCCCCCAATAATTTTGTAGTAGAGTTCCAATGCACCATGTTTGTTAGTGTGAAGTCTAGGTAGCATGCTGTCAACCTTAATTCAAAACCACTGAGAAAAAGGAAGTACCACCCAGCAGCAACCACTTTATACTTTTATTATTATTAAATATGATATATATATAACTTGCTTTTATAATTATTTATGTTTTTGACACCAGGTACCAATTGCAAGTAAGACAATATTAATATTACTTCTACTACTATTTTACATTTGAGGAGTTTGGCATCAGTTCTTCTAGATATAATTCCCAATTCAACCTCATTTTATTAACACTTGTCCTTCCCATATACTTTTTTCACACTTCATACTTTCATCCTCTTTCCTTCAACCTTCTACTTCACCAGTGTGATTTCCATTCCATATTTTCCTGTCCCCTCTACATACCATTTCACCGATGACATAATTTGATACTACATGGTCACCCACAGGCTGTGCCTCACCAAATTAATGGTCGTCTTCTTCATTATACGATATGCTACTGGGGTCTGGAATATAGATTATCAGATATGACTTCAAGTCTCTCAAAGGTTTTGTTTATGTTCTTTGTACAAACCTAGGGAGAATAACAGGAGTAGAATCTTGTCATGGTCTTCAGTGGACAATAGTCCTTAAAGCGTTTGGGCAACACTGCCATTGAGTAGTCCCTGAAGTCATTCTCTATTTACTTTCCATCATTGAAAAAAATTGATTATTTCAGTTAACTCTGCTTTCTCTTCCATGGAGAGTTTTGATTTTGAAGTATCTCACACTATCTGGATTTGGTGTAGAATCTATCTCTGTTGCTCAAAGAATTCTCTCAAATTCTTCCAGTGCCACTGGTGTTACTAACCGTGGATCAGATCCTTATTGAATTCTGTAATTCACTTCCTGCCATACCAATCTAAAAAGAGGTCTGCACATTTTCATATAGATGGCTCTCATACCTCTGCAAGATGTTACTTCTTCATCACTTATAAAACATTCACCATTCGACCTTTTGGTCTCTTGTGGCCCTACCACACACTCATTTGATAATCTTTCATAATTTTTACCAGTTTCCAAAACTGGTTTGATATAATGAGGCCTAATAAGATACTGCCGATAGAAGCTGTCTCATATTACTTGCCTATTTCTCTCTGCTTGTTGCTGGAACCCTGAGGTAGCTTTATTAAATCATGTTCTCTTCTGCTTAATGTCAGTTAGCACCATTTTGGTCTCATTGTATAGTTTCCTGGTCTCAATCTTCTCTTTCCAGACCTACCCCACTTCTACAGTGTTCCATTTAGGTTTATTGTAACTACCACATTTACTTTTCTCACTCATTTGTTCTTTTTTTTCAACCTTCCTGTATTTACTCATGATATATTTGGATTCTGTTTAATACTAGAAACCTGTCTCCATATAACTAAGTCAATAACACATGTGAAGTCATAATAAGAGAACTTTACTAATAAAATAAATGAAAAGTATCTAGCACAGTAAGATATCAAATTGAAAACATGAAATATTCAATTTATCAAAACCAGGTTTAACAGCAATTACATTACACATTTTCAGGTAAAATTCTCAAAACAACAAAGTAACTTAGAGGATCTTAAGATGTTTCTATTTGCACAAGAATATTTTAGGTGCATATAAAGAAATTTATTACAAGCATATGATTAATATCTAGCAATCAATTAAAATCTAATGAGAAAAAGAACTTTCTTAGTTGTAAATTATACATAAAATATTTAAAACCTTTTTACCTTCTTGAATTCATCCTCTAGTGTCTTTTCCAGATACTTGTACCGTCGAATCAATTTTGTAATGAGCTACAATAATGAGAATATTTTTACTGTAAAAGTGATAACAAAATTGTTGATATTATCTAAAAGCATTAAAATTATCATTTAAAAACATGTCTAATACTACTTTCTGACATTTCTAGTACTTATTTGCATTTGTAAAACAAATTAAAGAAATTCATAAATAAAACTTGCATCTAGGTAGCACACTAACTGAAGTAAGCATGTAATAATAATTGGAATTCCTGCCAATTTTGTACTTCCTCCACATGTACCTGGTTGAAACATGCAAGATTCTCCCCACTTCTGCAGTATAATTCATGATAAAAATAAGTGATGGTCTCAGCTACTACCCGTATTCCTAACAAACCAAACCATTATTATCAGAGATCAGAACATGAAAGGCCTTAAAAATTATCCTTTCTGTAGTGTATAAACAAAAAGTGTGATGCATATATAATTACTGGTATTTGGTCTTTATTTTGGGGATGTACACTATGAACAAAAAACAAAACAAAAAAGTTTAGTAGCAAAATTAACAGTTAAATATTTAATTTACGTTTCAGGTAACAGAAGTAATGATCTCAGAGGTGTGGAATTCATATCACTCAGACATCTAGAAAAACAAGTTTTACAGCTATACTTTGATAACTGAACAAGTAGTTTGTTTTGGGTGGTTGTTTTTAACATCATCCATTCTATTCCTAGAAAAACACTTCAGGTAGATTTCTAGAGATATGCTAATTCCTGAAAATTCAGAACTGCAAGGTCTAACAAATACATACAAACATTTGAAAATGTGTAGCTCTAAACCTCAAACCAAAACTGTATACACAAATCCCTCTAATTCACAAATCCCCAATTAAATGTACAGTAACAAACATTGCTTTTGTGTAAAGTAGGAAGAGCTCAATAAAGTTTGAATGCCAACTCTAAAATGAATATATATAATATACATTAATATAAATTTCAAAAACCTTTAAACTGTTTATATGTATATATGACACAACCATGATTTCTTTATATGTTTGTGCATGAGGTATTCTACATTCTGTGCTGCAAACTCCTAATAACTAAATGTTAAAAACCATAAAATATGTAAACAAAGAACTTGGATGCAAACACACTATACATCATTCCTAAAAAAACTGAGCTGCTGATGGGCATTGTATTGATGGATTTGCAGCATCTGGAATAAAAAGAACTATGGATATGAAGCATTTGGCTCAAAAATAATAGTTTTGTAAAACTTGAAATAAATAATAAAGCTAGATGTTTCAGGCTTTTGTATAGTAATTTCTAATGGTTTTATTTAATAAATAGTGCACTTTTGAGTTCATAGCATTTTCTGTAGGAGCTACAAAAAACTAATTATTTTGGCAAAACCGGATAAATAGCATTTGCATCTAAAAGTAAAATCCTCAGTTATATTCTAGTTTGTGTGTGTGTGTTTTTTGTGGGTTAAGGCAAGTAGAATTTTTAAAGACGTGTATATTCTTCTGAAAATTTTATTCACTGATCAATAAGTAAAAAATTCCACAACCCTGGATTGATTAGTGTTGAGATTGGGTTTTCAGGAAGGAATATAATTATCTTGATTCTTAATATCCTGTCACTGCTAGAATTGTTAAGGATGTCAAAATCACAAGCTTATACATAATAATAAAAAGAGCATTTCTAAAAAACAAAGCCACTCCTGATGGTTAAGTCCACCCAGATGGGTCTTGAATTTGTATTGGGACACAAGTTTAGGATGCCACTCCCTGCCCTCATTTTTGTGGTGATTATCTCATGTAAGTATAGCCTGACTTAGCCTAGCCACACAACACATTCAGTTGTCTACCAGTGAGATAGATAATGGATGGTTGAACAAACTTTCATTTTGTCCATCACGGCAACATGTTAAAACCCTTCAAAAAATTATTATGATTATATCTTTTGCCTTTTATCTACTGCCTCTGCTAGGTGTAGAGTATTCCCTGCTTGAGATGGATGACGTCTTCCATTGACTGCTGCCCCACAAGGCTACCACCCACCTTGTGGTTATTACAGTCAATGGATTTTCCCTTTCTGATGCTATTTCTGAAAATGAGCTTATATTTGTAATTTTTCTTCACTGGCCCCTCCACCATCTTCATTGAGGGATTCTGGCTCTTTGTGGTGCAGAATGGTGAGTAATGTTTCTGTAGTTAACATTTTCGTTAACTTCAAACAGATACTCACCTCTCTGCACCACCTTCCACTATTTCTCCTCACTTCTGGTGCTTTTAGACTGCCATATCAAGAAGAAGGCTGTGTTAACTTGCTAGTGCCCATAGGCATTACTGCACATGGAGGATGTATTGACCTCCCATTGGTGGAGGGCTATAGTCTAATGATGATTACATCATAAGCTGGCACAATACACACTAACATACATAGGGGTGGGAACTTTGTTCAAAGTTTGCAACAAGCAGAAGAACTTACACAGCTGTGCATGTGAGGTAAAAGATATTTATGATACAGAGAGGTGAGATGCATCTCTGAAAAAAAAACATTTTTTAACATGTACTTTCCTAATTATTTCTGCTAGTAAAACACAACACAATCGACTAATTAAGTTGCTTGCATAGCTTTTCCTCAATCTGAAGTTTTTTTTATGATTTAACAAATTTTTATCTGTATTTGCTTGAAACTTAATATGTAAAATGACACATTTCATGTGAACATATTCACTAGGTTGCATTCTCAATTTTTATAAGCTATGGTATATTGATTCATCAGTTCTATGTGCCTGAGGCTTATTAAAAATTGTGTGACACACTGTAAATGTATCAATCAATCCTGTATGCAAGCATTTTATTTTCATGTCATTTTTGATTGTTGTGAACAGAAGCATAATGAAAAATTCTGAAAATAATCATTGGCAATTTTTTTTATTTACACAACCAAATAGTTGAACAAAAATATAACTGTATCAGTTCCATCAGAGTCCAACTAAAAGTTACGAGTATGTAGTAATAAAATTTTTATTAAAAGAAGGAAATTTTAGTATTACCCATTTACCATTAAAACAAAAAAATATTCCTGTTATATTAATGGTGTGAAAAGAGATATAACAGATGGTTCTTAAAACAATCATCAGTAATATTTTTTCTCTACATTCCCAAATGGTTGATAAAAAAAAATCCATGTGTACCAAAACAGTTTAACAAAAAATGTACACGTACATTGTAATAACATTTCTATTAAAATTTTAGCATTGCCTAACTATCATTAAAATAAAAAATTAATTTGCACTATGTAATACATATAGCATGTTAAACATTAAAGGACAGATTAAAAACATTTTGAATATCCTGAGATATAGATGTGAAAAATAAATCTAACTTTACCTGGGCATAACCTTTCAGAGACTCCAAGTTGTTTTCTGCTGAGAATACACAGACATCTGTACGTAATGGTTTACTTGTATCAACATCATCAACAATAGTGCCACCCGGTGCTATAACCAAATAGTAAGAGTTTTATTAAAGTACATCTATCTATATACCTATATACAATGTATCAAAATGGTTTAGATAAACAATCTAAATACAAATTCACTTTAGATATCTAACAACCAAAGTTTATTTTTTGAAATTATTATTTATTAAAATGTATTATTTTCAAATGCTTTATCAATGCTTGATAACATACACCAGCGAATAAATGTTAGGTTGTCTAACTTTTAAGAAGGTTATGTCAATAATAATGCTGTATCTCAACGAGCCGTATACATACCAATTTCTCTATAAAACTAGAGAAATAAATTATATATATATATTTCTTTTCTCATTAGGAAACCTTAGCTCTCTCTCAACAGATAGGACAAAGGGCACATCACAACATTTGAGTTATTTTTAAAATTTAATTGAACAACTTGATTATCATTGCATGTCAATAATATTTGCATCAAAACATAGTTTATAATTCAAATTTGAATACAATATATGTTTTAATTTCTTAATTCAAAAGAATATATTTAGAAAAAATGCCAAATATGCTTTTTTGTGTCATATGGTATGTCTTCTTGTCTTATTGCTCAGTTTCTATTTTATAATGTTTATCATACAATGTCTATAGTGGTTAACGAATTAGAAACTCAAACTTCAGACATTTACAAGCTGGAATACAAAATTAGAGCCTCCCACCTTTTTGATTTGCTAAGATATCAATATATTTTGCAAACCTAAAAGGGCAGCAATGCCCACTACTCCATTCTTTTAAAATCTCTTGTCTACTCACACCTACTTCTCTTAACTCTTTTAGCATGGCTCGATCTCACCTCATAACCATTATGTGCTTGTTATAGTTTCATTTCTATAACATTTAAATTAGTAAGAGTATGTTCACGAAATTTAGCAGATAATCAGTAAACATTACAAGGCTTTCATATGCATAATATCAGAGTTTTTATTAAGTCTTAAGGTTTGTTAAGCAATGTTTTTCTCATGCCTTTTTTGTTTTCGCATGTTGCTGATTGATTGCCACTTTATAGCGCAAAGCAATAGGGCTATCTGCACCAAACAACTGGTAAAAATTACAAAGTTAAAAGATTACAAAATGTAAAAAGAAATCAAGTTAAAACTAAACAAAGTTCAAAAATCAGCTAAAAGCATTTAAGTAGAATTAAAAAGGCCTAAAACCTGTAAAAAGCTGAAAACACGGTCAAGTTGGACAGTGTCACCATCACCAACGAATGTCAGGGGTAAACCCGTAGAAAGTATATGACAAAAATGGTGCCACTGGTCACAGTCGTAAGAACGACACAACAGTAAAATGTGGGCCATTGTTATTTGAGTGTCACAAAAGCTGCACATTGGTGAGTCAGTACTAGATAAAAGAAAACAATGAGTTAAAAATCTGTGACCAAAGCGTATCCTAGTCAGGACAGCTTCCTCCTTCCAATCCTTACGGAAACAAGATGGCCAAAGAGTAACAGAAGGTGTGGTCTGGAAAAGCTTGTTATAACGTTGCTCACCCCAAGTCAACTGGTGCAAAGCCATGCCTTGAATGCAGGACCATAGTCCATATATAGGATGGACCCAGCCATGATGGCACCAGAGCAAACAGACTTAACATCGGTATCAGCAAGCTTGTTCCAGCGAATACAGATATGGCCAGGTGTCCAGAAAAACTGGATGGAAACAGAAGATAGAGAAAAAAATGGACCAACCATTGTTGAATCTCGACGAGAACAAGGTGAGAACTAACATTGAGCAATTCCAGGGCCAATAGAGAACTAAAAGAGAGTCAGTGTAAATAGTACAATCTCTACTGCATAGCTTCTACATGATCCAGGGCAAGAGAAATGCCATACAACTCGGCAGAAGAGAGATGGCACAGCATCTCATAGTGAACGTCATCAGGACTGGTCGATGTATTGCTAGATCGATGAAGAGCAAGTTCAAGTTCCACCAGTGTAAGGGAGCGATTATAGTCATAGAGACGAGCAGCAAGAAAGGAAAGCGGCAATCGCTCTGCTTAAGACTTGATGGCCAAGAAGGCGAGGGAAGAAACAGAAGCATTAGATGTACGAGAAAAGCTCTTGCCGTGAGTATTGGCGATGCTCTGTACATCAGCAGCTTCCTGGCCATTGGAGAGCAAGATGGAAAGCATACCTCCCATTGACCTTATGAATCTTATCCCATACGACTTTGGAACTGGTGGTAGAAGATATGCTAGTTAAACTTAATCCAAGATTCCTTTTGGCTTTAATGTCTGACCTGCCGTGAACAGGCAGAGGGCCACTGGAAAGCAATGCAGTTTGAAAGAGTGGGATACCTGTGAAAGGTATCCCAGGCATGTTTCTAAGCCTTTCGTGCCCACTGGCACACTGGAAACCACCATGGACATTTCTTTACTGTGGGAATACCATGGATACCATTTGAAACATGTTGAGGTATAGAATGAACAGCTGCTTGAATGATACAATCAGTTACTGCCTCCACGCAGTCAGTAATAAGTGAAAGACTAACGACAACAGGACCAAGTTCCAAGAGAGAAGTGAAAGAGAGCAAGTCGGCCTGGTTCAACTTCCATCTGATAGCATCAACTACAGCCAATCTCACTCAAAACAATAGGAAAATGATCGCTGCCCCGTGAGTCACTG